GATTAAAACTTACCATGGATGATGAGTCATACTTTGTTCTGGATTCAGATGTTTGTGGGGCCATAAAGTACTTCATTACTGAATCACTGAATATTCCATATTCAGCTTTCTCCAATCCTGTTCCTGTCAGATCCAGAATTCAAGTGAAAGAAAAATTTCTGCGTAATATAATGAGGTGGCATAACATGGATAAAGACAGATAAATATCAAAATCAGCATTTATACAACGAAGTGTGAGTGGTTTGATTTATTTATATCGATGCATAAAGAAAATTATGATCTCACTTGTCAGGCATTATTATCAAATACACGATGTTTTATTATGGTTTGATTTGGCATAAATAAAATGACATTTTATTTAGGGAAACAAAATTAAGCACTTTGAATTGTCATTTCAGGTCTAAACCTTCTTCATCTCTTACAATTCTTTAGAAAACTGGTCCTGAGTAAAGTCACGGGGATAAGTTTTTTAAAGAAGTTAAACTCAGGACCAGTTTTTTCAAAAAATTGTCGAGAGGAGGTCAAAACAAACTGCATACAAAAGCAACAATTCAAAGTGATTAATTTTTCCGTGTTCTTCTAAACACACATCCTGTATGATAAGTCCTACATTTGTCATGTGAGATTTAAGTACAACAAGAAGCTTTGAACACAATATAACTTTAGTTAACATCTGTATTAATTCACTTAAAATTCATATGACATCATGTGATGTGTATGCCAGAGAAACCAAAACTAAGAGGCTATGTGTTGTGAATTACATTGTACTACTGCTTGCCAAAATCAAAACTGGCCAGTCTCAAAAATAGCCAATTTTTCAGTAATTTCAGATTTCTGGAAGTCAGATATTTGGTCCTGTACTATAAAATAAAATAAAAGTTGGCATCAGTTGCAATCGAGATAGAATGTTTACAGATCATTCATTTTTTTCTTCCATTAGTTATAAAAGAGAAAAATCAAATATTGTGTAGTATTTGATAATCGGAGTAAATTTGAGTAATAAACATATTACTGTTAATACTCTGAAGGTAAGTGTCTTGATGACAGTAAATGAACGTGCTTAAAAGTTACTACAAAAGACAAAATTCTGTTCTAAAATCTGCTTGTAAATATTCTAAAACAGTGTTCATAGACATCTGAAACAGATCAGTCATGATCTATTTTAGACACTAATGAAATAGGGTTTATTGATTTCTATCATCATGCAGAATTTGTTCAAATTTTAAAATTGAAAAATTTGTGGTTATTTTAACAATATTGTGAAAGTCTCTTCACTACTTGAAATACGCATAATAATGATAGGCTTTTTTCATTCATACAAACATAATAATGGCTGCTGATAAGAAGAGTAGTAACGAAAGCTTATGATGTAATAATTGGCTTAATTTAAAAATTGAGCATTTATTTTAAGTATTTAAGATAGTATATTTAAAAATGATTGGCTATCACTCTTGGTTAATGGGATGAAACATTATTGTAAGTGTCGAACGATTACATTCTACAAGATATTTTAAATATATAAATATTAATTTTTGAACAAATTATATTTTTTAAAAATTTAGTGTAAAAATGCAACATTTTAAATAAAACATGATATTAGTATTTAAAAATAATGTTTAATTTTTTTATTTTTAGGTTTCAGTATGCTGGAGATAATTTTGTTAAAGCTACCGGAGATACGGAAAAACATTCTCAAATGCAGAGTAAATTATTTCTCCCTATCTCTCTTTTAGTTTAAGTGAATTAAAGTTTAATTTCAAGCAAAAATAAGTCATATTCATTTCTATTTGTATAAAATACAGTCTGAATTGAAAAACAAAGACAGATTAATTACAGAATTAATTTCATAATTTTTGTTTATTTAATCAATGAGTTACATTTACAGTTTATTTAATAATACATGACTTATTCAAATATTTGTATTTTATAGGAAAACAAAATATGACATTGATAAGGACATACTTTGTTTTTCTTTTGCTTTAGGTACAGAATAACTACATTCAAAAATTATATTTCTTTACATCTTTTTGCAAAACACACACCCACTTTTTTTACACGCAAGAAAAATTGTTTCTTCTATCTGGATATGTGAATACAGTATTTACTGAAAAATAATATTTTGAGATCTGTATTCAGAAGTAGTGAGCAAAAACACGGTGTATTTATATATATTATTATTTGTAACAAATAAGCAATCTTTATGGTAACAACTAGAAACTGCAACAGTAGATATTTAGACACTACAAACAATCTATGTATGCAGCAAAACCTTTTAATTACCAACCTTTTTGATTATTTTTAATGACCATCTTCAGGTAAGGTACAAAATTTAATGATGCATAAAATGGAATGCTTAATGTTTTATTTTGCACATTGATTTTGTAACTGTGTAACAGAGTAATAGTAAAAGGGCATCTTTGCCAAATGCTGCTCAGTTCTATCCAATGCAGCGAATATCGTATTTGTGTTTATTTGTTTTTCAGATTCATAATGGAGCTTTTCTGGGCTAAACCTCTCAAAGTACNAGGAAAACGGAAACAGAACGCCAAAAAGCGGAAATAGAGGCTAAGGCCAAGGAAACAGAACGGCAGAAGGCGGAAATCGAATCTGAGGCGAAGGTGAGGATAGCCGAAATAGAGTTAGAGCGGGATAGGCTGAAAAGGGGGACCCGAGACGCAGAGGACAATCTCGGTAGAGCAAATTTTGACGATTACGCTCGCAGGGTAAAGGCGGCACTGCCTAAAATGCCGGAAGAGGAGGAGGCAGTACCATCTTGGTTTCGTATGGTCGAAGTAATTTTGGAGACATACGAGGTTTCAGTAGAGTTACAGGGACAAATAGTTTTGAGCGTGCTATCGGAAAAATGCAAAGCGGCACTGACAAGATTGTCAGCGGATAAGGTCAAACATTACCCTTCCTTGAAGGAGTTTATTCTCGAAGAGTTGAGACTCTCACCGGCGGAATATCTCAAGGGATTTAGGCGGGCAGAACGCTACCCGGGAGAAACATGGCCGCAATTTGTGTCGCGTCTGAAAGATCTTTATCAATACTATGTAGATAGTAGAGAGGTGGAGACATTAGAAGGTCTTGTTGAGCTAACAGTAGCGGACCACATAAAGACGCTCCTACCTCACGACGCAAGGAAATACGTGATATTACAGGAAGGGAAGGGATGGAGCAAGCCTGCGGAATTGGCCAGGTTTGTAGAGAAGTTTGACGAGGCGTCAAGTAGCAGGTCCCCAAACAAAAGCGAGGAAAACGGCGAACAAAGGGACTCGCGGAGAGAGACGAAAGGGAAATCTAGTCCCGTGATGCAGACTATAGATGAACAACCCCACAAAATTGGTTGTTATGTTTGCGGGAAAACGGACCATTGGAGGAGAAACTGTCCGAAACGGAAGGCACATAATGAGCCTAAACAGGCGCGGCTCGTGGCTACTAGTAACAATTCCCAGGACGAGAGACGTTTAGTAGCGAGGGTAACGTCGTATGACCAACCAAAGGTCGTAAAAGCGCTGAATAGAGTTAGATTAGCTTGCGAGGGAAACTGTCTTTCGGCCATAGTTGACTCCGGAGCTGAGATTTCGGTTATAAGGGAGTCGTTGGTACCTACCTCAGTGATGGGAACGAAGGGGAGAATCCAATTGGTTGGGCCCTTCGGTCACTGGATCGATGCGGTGTTAGTATCGGTCCCGATAGGGTTGTGGGAGGAAGACTTCGCAGGGTCGCGAAGTTCGGAACTGGTGACGTGCGCCTTAACGGACGAGTTAGACCAGACCACGGATGCCTTGTTATCGGAGGAGGATTACCGGATGCTGTTAAACCGGAAGGAAAAACTCCAGGAAAAGGGAGAAAGACAGGCGAGGAGCTTAAGTGTAGATGGGAACGGAAACCATCAGGAAAAGGAGCCGGAACCTCTCGCAGAGGCGGGGCGTTGTGGAATTAGCGACGAAAAAGGGAAAGGAACGGAATTACGAGACACTCAGGTCCCGGACGAATCACTTTCTCGATTGTGGGAGGTCGCTGAGCCTAAGGAAGATGGGCTAGTTGTAGAGAACAGAACACTATATCGGCAAGATAGTTCGTTCGGCAGGCCCATTAAGCAGATAGTTGTTCCCCAAGAACGGAGAACGGAAGTGTTAGATTTAGCACACAAAGCTCCGTGCGGTGGACAGTTTGGCAGTCGCGTGTTAGCAAGTCGCGTTCGCGAGAGCTTCTATTGGCTGGGAATGGTGACCGACATCCGGAAGTACTGCCAGAATAGTCGTAGGTGCCAAGTAAGTGCGCCTGATTTAGTCCTAGATAGGACCCCAGCTACACCACTTGCTCGATCCTCAACCCCGTTTCAAGTGGTTAACATAGGCGTGGTTGTACCGATTGATCACTTGTCAGCTAACGGTCATCGATACGCAGTTTGCGTAATCAGTTTACGCAACCGCTTGTCAGAAGTAGAAGAGATGAGATCGCTGGTCACCCGTTTGGTATTTTTGCGATTCTTTACGCAGACGGGTTTTCCCGAAATGATTTGTTACGATCAGGGGACAAATTTCACCGTAGGGTTGACGCGTGAAATGACCCGTATGTTAGAAGTGGAGAATGTAGAAGTAGCTCGGATCAAATCGGCTCACGATATCGCAACTAAGCATACGGCCGTAAAACGAGAAGGGTATGCAGTGCGTTCCAACCTGGAAGCACGGAAAAGGGAATATAACATCGGGGATACGGTTCTCGTGGAAAAGTCTTCCCCGGATGACAAATTACATGTCCGGTGGGAATGGCCGGATGTAGTAGAAAAGCGAAGTTTCGCTGTAAGAATAGTACTCGGTTTCGACGGGAGATTCGGGGAACTGGATCAAACTTCGTCCTTGCGACCGCTGTACGATCGTGGACGAGGGGACGGGAGAGGAAGGGAAATTCCTCCACTTTCCCCGACGTCGGCACAGACCGAACTGGATGACGTGCCGTTGGATTACAACTCGATGTTCGATAATAGACCGAAAAAAAAAACATCGGGACACTTACTGGAGAGTGGATCTCGAAACGGTTTACCCCATACCGGATTTCGCTAGTTTACGAAAGCGGTTATTAGGCATAGGTAACAAAGGCATCTCTGCGCGTAGACGGGTAAAATTCCCAAATGTTCCGGATGTATGGGTCAGTCCGATATCGGACGATTTTTGTAAGATTGTTTGGTGTTGAAGGGAATCAAACAGGCTTAAGTAAGCTCAGTTTGATCCTCGGCCGTGGAGGTGTCGGGAATTAAAATCGTCTAGCGCGCGGTTTTCCCGCCTTTTCGTGAACGACCGTTATCGCCATGGAAACGGCGATAACGACATTTTGAAAACTCGACCGCTGATTGGTTAAGAAACATCGGACGATCGGCGGACGTCTTATACAGCTGGTAGATGCTGATTGGTGGAGTTCAATGTAGCTTCAATCCTATAAAAGCAGTGAAGTTCTGGCGGGAAGTTTAGTTCGCTTTGGACTCGTAGAATGAACTCACGTTGACCTTAGTTGCCGGAGCTGTCTTAGAAGATCGTCTCATCTTGTTGTGTTGTTGTAGACTTTGAATT